TGGCCAGCTCAGCCCACCAGGGGGCGGGGCTGGCTGGCATGTGGTGCTGGGGGATTGAACTGTGGTCCCTGTGCTTTGCTAAGCCTGTTCCAAGTAGGTGCTTTAGACCACTGAGCCATCTCACCAGCCCCAAAACTTCCAGTGTTTGTTTGTTTTTTTTTTTTTTTTGGCAGAACCAGGAATTGAACTCAGGCCCTTGCGCTTGCCAGGGAAGTGCTTATTCTACTGAGCCATCTCCCCAGCCCCACAATGTGTTTTTATAATTTTTGAATATACAATGGAAAACTATTCATGAAGGTTTTTGTTGAGAATAAAGGAATACAGACTCATTTAATTTGATACTTTACAACAAAAGTCTATAGAAAACTAAAGTGTTGCGGGCTGGAGACATAGTTCAGTGGAATAAGTGCTTGCCTGACAAGCTTAAGGTCCTGAATTCAATCCCTGATACCACCAAAAAGAAAAGGAAAACTAAAGTGTGACTAATATTCCTTGGGTTTTTTTGTTTGTGTTTTTTTGGCAGAACTGGGGATTGAACTCAGGCCCTTGCGCTTGCCAGGCAAGCACTTATTCTACTGAGCTATCTCCCTAGCCTAATATTCCTTTTAGGAAGTATGGAGCACAGCAGGCAAGAGGGTTTTACAGTTCAGGTTCACTGCTATAGGTTTAATCAGACCTTACAATTGAGTGCTAACCCTCAATGTAAGAAAGTCAGCAAAGTGAGATACCTGGCATAAAAAGCATGTTGTATTAAATGTCCCTAGAAGACAATCATTTGCATTGATAAATAATCTTTTATACTTTTTCGTAGTAGTGGTGGCGGCGGCGGTGGAGGTGGCGGAGGTGGCGGTGGTGGTGGTGGCAGACGCCGAGATTCTTACTATGATAGAGGATATGATCGTGGGTATGACAGATATGAAGACTATGATTACCGGTACAGGTAATATTATAACTGTATGGTTTTTATTGGATAATAGCGGTGTTTTGGGGGAGGAGGGCTGACAGGTTAGCTCAGTTGTCTAAAGTGCCTTCTTTTGGGGTGGGGAGTGGTACTGAGGATTGAACTCAGGACCTTGCGCTTGACAGGCACTTATTCCACTGAACTATCTCCCCAGTCCTAAAGTGCC